CACTCTCCGAAAATTATGAGTAATCAGAAAAATATTATTTTATCGAGGTAAAAATATCAAACAATTTTATTTGTTTTTTTAAGTGATGAATAAAAAGGAGAGAGCTATGATATTGTGGCGAAAATGCACAAACTTGTTGTTCAATTTTAATTTATTTCCATCTGTACCACCTTCAACGGACGGCCATAAACTTCGAACTCAACGAATATCAACAAGATTATATATTTTATTGCTTATCCTATCATCAATAATCCTTCTTTTATACACTTCATTAGAAAATGTTACAATGACTGTTAATATCGCAACACCTACTCTCACAAAATATGAACAATTATATTCTAAGTATTCACAAACTCTTATATGTCCATGTAAAAATATATCAACCAACTATGAAAAATTTCTTTCTATTGAATATACACTTCACCAAGTGTGCACCAGTTTTTTTATCACCGACGATTGGATTTCATATATTGCTATAGGTACTACAGGTTATTTGGTTACCGGCGACTTTCGAGTAACAGGGCCATATCAGTTTGAAACTTTACGTGCATTTTGTGAGCTAATTAATAGTACGATGTCTTATAGTTTGATTCAGTTTAATTCAACTCAATATATTACTGCCTCTGTTACACCATTACAATTATTTCAGTCACAAGCTCAATCATTCATTGATCAGTTTAAATTATCAACAACAAATAATTTTTTATTATCTCTTAATATGAGCAGAAAGACCATTCAAGGGAATGTTTTACTTTCTGGTAGGCAAACAAATTACAAACTAAACAAAGTAAACAAAACGTCTATTTTATTCACAACTAGTCGAGTTTACGACAACTGCATTTGTGCTTTATCAAACACATGTATAGATAATTCTTCCCTTTTTAATGGTCCTAATCCTTACAGAATTTTCAATGTAACAGGTTTCTATGTAGGATGTTATACGACTGAAGCATTGCTTCGATCTACTCTCGAGTGCTTTTATAACCAAACCTGTATAGATCAATTACAAATTTATTTGTTACCACCTGTTCTGAAGAATGTGACAGCTCTTGATTCATCTTTACCAAGTCAATATTCTGAAAACTCAACAATTGAATATCTTCTTAATAATTTAATGATTGAAGAATGGAATTCAACACAAATGTATGATCGATATTATGATGAATGTCAACCTAAAGAATGCACTTATACTATTAATACAAGAAATAATATACTTTATGTTATCACGACATTAATTGGTATAATTGGTGGATTGACAAGAGTTTCAAAAATTCTCGTACCAATATCAGTTAAAATCATCGTATATTGCTTTCGGAAATGGAGAAACAGCGTTGTTCCACAAATATCAATTATTCAAACATGATTTTTTTTCTTCTTAGAGATTAATCATGTGTTCTATCAGAAACTGATGTGCAAATGAACAAGTTAAGCAGTCGATAGACTGGAAGCTTTCAAATGAAATTTTTTCTTTTTGTTGTATTAGTTAAAAGGCTTTACAAATTACAAATAAAATATTAGTCAATTGTTATTCACCAGCAGAACAAAGATGCTCAGCGAGGATGTCATTGTTTATTATGTCTAGTGACAAATATGTTATGGGCACCACGTTAGTTAGAAATCAAATCCTAGGATAAACTTCATCTTTTATTCGTAAAAATGAATATTTTTAAAAAAACAGATTTGACTTGAGAAAATATCAAGTTTATTTAAATAAAATACTACAAATGAAGTGTAGAATAATTTATTTTTATTAGATCAAAAGAAATGTTCATCTCGATGATTATAATTACCATTATCGAACTAAAGTTGATTGATACAAATAGGTTTCTTACAACTGAAAATTATACATTATTGTGTTTCTTTTGATTTAATAAAAATGAATCATCCTACATTTCATTTACGTTATTTTACTTATTGCACGATTTTATCAACAAATTTTTTTTGTATTATATAAAGTTAATTTCTTGTTAATTACATCAATCTTACTGAAACAAGAAATTAGAGAAAAAATATTAGACTCAATAATATTCTAGTTTCGACATACATGGAGTATAGAGAAAAAGAAAAAAAATTATTAATTATTGTCGCTATATAATATGATTCACCATATGTCTCAAACTTCTTATAGTTATCATTTAAACTGATTTTGATGAAATATTTTGAAAATCGCGGATCTTTATATTTCATAATACTTTTATAATTTAATAATCATTTGAACATTTATTTAAAGATATTCAAATCGTTTTCTTCTTGAAGAAAAATACTTAATGAATATAAACTGTGAGACTACAAGAACAAAAAAAAAACAAATCTAATTTTCATTCTGAAGATGTTCATGATATTCTCCACTCATTTTACTCTCTTTAACTTTCAACAATTTTTTATGATGAAAGCAATATCCTATAAGTATTCTATATTGTCAGGAAATTAATTCTCTTTCTACCAAAATTAAAATGAGAGATGTTTTCATGTATAATTACTAATAGTTTCTTTTCATATTTTTACTCAAAACTGTTTTCTTCAAATCAGTAGATCACAATGTCGTATCAATTATTGGTTATCATAGTTGTTATTAATGCTATTGGATTTATTAATTCGACAATATGTAAGAACTTTAAACTATCTGTATTGATTTTAAAAAAGATTTCATTTAATTGTAGTATATGTCAATGTATCATTCACTGCAGTTTGGGCTGAGAATGCAATAACCGTAGCAGGATTATCGAATGGTACATCTGGAAAATCAAATAATACTCTCAATTCTCCTCGTGGTTTAAGTATTTCAAGTGATGATATTTTATATATAGCTGAATGGAACAATTATCGAATAGTCGTAGTTAATTTAACTAGTTTACAAGTTATTAATATCATTGGATCAGGTCCAGGTAGTGCAATGTATCAGTTTGATCATCCTTATGATGTTATTGTTGTTGATGAATCATTATACGTATATGATGCATGGAATATACGAATACAAAAATGGTCAACAAGTGGTACAAATCCATCAAATATATTAACAGGATCCTTTGGTCATGGATTTTATATGTTTAAAGACAAATATGATAAATTTTACATAAGTGCATATGATGATGATATGGTAGTACGATTTGCACCAAACTCATCAGTTGCAATAACGGTTGCTGGTAATGGAGTTGTTGGATCGTTATCATATCAACTGAATTCACCTGATGGGATATTTGTTGACGATAATCTTACTTTATATATTGCTGATTTTAATAATCATCGAATTCAGATGTGGAAATATCAATCATTATATGGGATAACGGTTGCCGGAAATGGAACATCTGGTAGTAGTTTAAAACAACTCTTTCGCCCCGGTGCAGTTGTTGTAGATACAAATGGATATATGTATATTGCTGATTCAGGAAATAATCGAATTCTTCGATGGAAACTTGGTTCTGACTCTGGCATTTGCATAGCAGCTTGTACTGGTACAACTGGAACTCAAATGAATCAGTTATACTCTCCGGCTAGCATTGCATTTGATAGTACTGGGTCGTTATATACTAGTGATTATTATAATAACAGAGTTCAGAAATTTCAATTTCTGTATAATGCAAGTAAGAATATAATTATTTTATTATTAGAAAAAGATTCTCTTTTGAAATTTTCTTAGATCAGACAACAACTACAGGTCAATCGATTGCAACAGGTAATTTACAAAAGAGAAAGATTATTTCGATCATACATTATTTGATTACTAATGAACATATAGTTTTATTCTTAGTACCGACTTCATCAACCTTACGTATTACAACAAAATCGACTACAAAAATAACAACAACAAAGCGCAGCTTAATGACGTCTACGACAAATAATGGTCAAGAAATATCAGCATTTTTTACATTATCTGAGACAACAATTATGGGGTATTATCTTATATTTATGACTCTATATTATAACTACTAATAATGGATTCTACATTATTCATAAATTATAAAATATTGAACACTTAAAATTAAAATTAAAATAAAAGAAATATTATCATTGAATTAATATAGTCACAAATAAAGCTTTTGTCATAGAATCTTGAGGGTATGGGTGTCTCTTCTTCTCTATCATCCTCACTCACACCTACACCCTTTGAATTCGGTCAAATGTTCAAGTTTAGATATTATTCTCTCTAATAGATTTTACGATCGAAGATATTTTCATTTTCTTTCATGTATTGTTTGGGCATTTACTGTTGACCTATTTTCTATAAACAAATCTTTAAATATACTATATATTGTTTCAATATCTTTTTCGAATCCTTCTCAATAATTCTTTTCGTAACATTATCCGTTAAACAGAAATATTATATTGTGAATATAGTAGAGACAGTATTGATATTAAATGTTTTTTACAGTTTAAATCGTGCAACAACACCAGTTATTATAATTAGTTCTGTTTCATCTTTTTAGTTTAAAAAAGAAATCTTGAGGGGTGGGTGTGGGATAGAACGAATTAATACACCTACACCTATACTCATACCCACACTCTGAAGATGGTAGATTGCTTAATCTATCGTCTTTTGTTCAGAAAAAACAGTATTAAATCTATAACCGACCAAAGAAAAGTCATATTATTATCATTATTTCTAATTTACATGAGTTTATTTATTTACAAAGAGAGACAAATGATTTTATTAGTTTGAATTAACTAATGAATTAATAATTGAATCAATTGCTTTTTTTACACAACAACAATAATTTTTTTGACTAAACCAACAATATGCACCATCACCACGATCACTTGCTGCTGCTTGCCAACAATTTTCTGGACATGAATTACCAATAAAACAAAATGGTGCTATTCCATACCATTTACAAACAGGTTCTATTGCTCTCAAAGATGAGAAGATTAATGATAGAAAAATAACATAATACAGAAAAAGACGCTTATAAGACATTGAAAGTGATAGAAAATTATAAATGTGTATTATATTTATTGAGAGAAAACAATGAACATTGACTATAATCGAATAGCGGTCGGACATTGTGCTACATTATTTGAATATGCAGTCAAATCAGTATCCAATAGCAAAATTAGTATATTTCTGAGAGAAAAACAAATTTTCTATTTTGTAGATTTTACGTTGTGTGTTTCTATTAGTCAAAAAAAATAAATAACCGCATGACGTACGAATAAAGTTATCAGCAAACAACTAAAATATATTTTCAACACAATAAGATAAAAGAACCTCAACAAGATATGTCGACTAGAGAAAAAAAAGTGATATCGTACAATAAGATAACTATCATTTCACCTTGAGTTTTTTTTTACTTACATTTATCATTAACACCAACAATGGATAAACATATTATGGCTTCTTTAAAACGAACAAAAAATAATTGCTCAGTTTGTATTAAATTAGCTGGGGTTTTTTTATGTCATGGATGTGAAAAAAATTTTTGTCAACTACATGCTAGTGAACATCGAGAACATCTTCAAAAATCTATGAATGTTATTTATCATAATTATGATTCAGTCAAACAAAATATAAAAGGACAAACAACAGAACAATATCAACATTCTTTAATGGTACAAGTTAATCAATGGGAACAAGAATCCATTGAAAAAATTCGTCAATATGCTCAAGAGACTCGACAAGAATTAACAATTACTGTTCGACAACGTTCAGGTAATTTAAAAGAAAAATTAGAACAATTAAAACAAGAATTAGATAAAGCTCGACAAACTGGTGGTTTTTATGAAAATGATTTAAAAGAATGGACAGAGAAACTTAATGAAATACGACGTACATTTGCTGGTCAACAAACAATTAATATTAATGAAGCTTCTCATTCAACTCCATTTATATCAAGATTTTCATTCAATGCAACATCAAATAGTTCATTTCAAAATGAATATCATTCTAGAACTTTTCAACATCAACAACAACAACAACTACAACAACAACTACAACAACATTATGATTATGATCAATATAAACAAATCAATCATAGTCATTTTGATGATCTTTTACCTGCACAAATACAAACATCATATTCATCAGGTCAACATAAATTTCAATATGTAATTGAACGTTATGAAATAAATAGTTCAATTCTATTTGGAATTATATCCGAACGTACATCGAGCGATGAAGATCCATATAGAAATTCATCATTTTATGGTTGGGGATCAAACGATCTTGTTTATCTTGGTGGTAAAGAAAAACTAAATTATAATAAATATCGTAGTGATTATCAAACTGGTGGTCAATATGAATTAACTATTGATTGTGATGAAAAAAAAATTACTTTAAAAAATGAACACACCAGTCAATCGTATGAATTAACTATTGATCTTCATAAATGTCCATTTCCATGGCAACAACATGTTCGTCTTTGGTTACGT